ACACACACACACACACACACATATATATATATATATATATATATATATGTGACATCTAGGCATCAGGCCTCAGTATCCTAAACACAGATGTTCAGAAGATGAGGCTCAGGCATGCTTACTGAGAGGTGGTGCATGTGAATCAGGAGGAGAAGCAGAGGGTTCCCAACCAACACAGAAAATCCGTCCAGGGAAAGTAGTCACAACATCAGATGTTAAAAAGGACGATGGGCCAGTTCAGTGAGTTCTTCATGAAAGACGTGAGCATGTGAGAATGGGATATTTTGTTGTTGTTGTTTTTTTTTTCTTTTTTTTTCCCCCCAAGTTGTAAGAGCAATGGACAGGGTGATGGCAGTGGCCCATTAGAAGGAAAAAGTCCTTAAGTATGAAAGAGGAAGCTGGATCCAGTACCCAGTTCTGGATAGAACAGACAATTCACCACCAAAGGACAAAGGCAATGCTATGTGGATGCAGATTCTCGAGGCTGACAGATTGGGTAAAGAGAACACACTAGTTCTGGCTCTAGTCTTCAAGTCAAATAAGAAGGGAGAGCATTGAAGGTGCAGAACTAAAACGAACCAACCAAACAAACAAACACCAAAAACCAAACCAAACAAACAAGACTCAAGCCTAAAACTAGTATAAGACAGCAGAATTCTTCCTTTTTGGGAGACAGGGTCTTGCAATGTTACCAAAGCTGTCCTCAAAGCCCTGGGTTCTTGTGATGCTCCTGCCTCAGCTTCCCAAGTAGCTGAGACTACAGGTAGATATTTCAACACCTGGCAAAGAACAGGATTATTGAAACAGAGACATGAAGAAGACATTCTGGATATGACATGGTCTAGGATGGGACTAGGCCAGATCATTACAGGGAGAGAACAAACCAAGAGGCAGGTCATTGCCTGGTTACAGAGATTAGTAAGAACCAGATAGGAGTAAAGGCTTATCCTCTAACAGGAACAATAGGGAGAGAGGTCTGTGCCTGACTGCTATACTCTGATAACATGTGCTTCAAGGGAAGAAGAAAGGAACCAATAACCAGTGAGGAGCAAGCAGGACACCTACCCCACTTCAGGTTGAGTGGTGCTCAGATGTGGGAGAAAAACATCCATCACTGGACATGTCTACAGAGGAAGCAGGGTTCCCAGGGCACAGCCAGGAGTCAGGACCAGACGGTACCTGAAGGAAAGAAGTGAAAAATCCTTCAGGCAAGAAAATTTGTGTTCTGGTACCAATCATATGTCTACATCCAGACAAACATAAAAGTTCAAATTTGTATGTGGTCACATACATTTATATTTAAACACAAACTTTGAAACCACTGAAAGTGTAGAAAAGAACAGATGGGAATCACAGCTCTAGCCTTATACAAAAATAAATTAGGATTAAGTTTTAAAGACCAGCATGGGGCTTAATCCCTGGTCAAGCTGGTGTTCGGACCCCAAGGCTCTGGTGCTCAGAGAAGCCTGGGCTCCCACTGAGACTTCCAAGCGGGAACTGGTAGGGGCTCCTTGCCTGGGTTGAGTAATAAGAACAGCAGCGGAACCAAGTGGGGGCTTGTCGTCAGAGAGCTATAGGCCTATGAGACCAGACAGCTGTCTTTCCTTCAGGCATCTCAAGGCCGACAGTCTCTGCACTCTGCTGATACAGAGATCTGTTTGCCCCTTACCATTTGCTCCAGGCAGTTTCATATCCACTGATAACACACTTTGACCTCATCTGAGGGGGAGCAAGGCGTCCCATTTGCCCTAGTGAGCAGAGCTGTGGACTACTGGAGGGGTTGTGATATGAGACTTCACAGATACTCACACTTGACAACAAGTGATTCAGGGAGATCATGTCTCTGTTTCTCTTGGAACTTAGAAGAACAGCTCAAATGGAGAGGTAAAATGTGAGGAAACCACATGAGAAAGGATGAATGGCTTGGAGGATGGCACAGCACGTCAACACGCTCAAATAGGAATTTCTGAGGTGGAAACCAAAGAGTTTAAAGTCACACTCACGAGACAGCTGAGGCAATGGTATAAAATAATGGAAGAGTGTTTAGCTAAGAGGCACAATAGACAGCAATTACTATTAAACAGCAACAATTTCAGACTCCATAACAACTTTAAATGCCACTGCCATAACAACTCGCACGTGTGTATTTCCTATGACAGCCATTAGTTTAGTTGCTTTATTAATGCTAAGTCATCTAGTCTTAATCTGAACCTACTGTAACCATCACAGCAGGAAGGAAGATACTCTAAGGAGGGTCTGTCTCTCCTCTCATCGCAGAGAAAATGGACTCGAAAAACTTTTCTTTGAACCTTCTGCTGAGAGAAAGCAAAGCCAGAGGAGGAATTTGTCTTGGAAGGATTTCACAGTCTAACTACCAGACCACAGTGCAACAGAGACTGGGGCGGGACCACAGTGGTGGGCAGGACAACAATTGACCAGGATTGCTTAGTTGTCTACACTGAGCCTTTATTAAACCTAAACACTCTATCAGGACTGCAGAGATGGACTATAGATGGGTAGTTAGTTCATTGGACATTTTTTTTTGTTAGTTTTTTTCCCAATGTCTCATTGATTAAATCTTTTTTCTTTTTCTTATTTTTTTATTCATGATTTTTTTTAATTTAAAAATGATTTTATTTCTGTGCATGAGTGTTTTGCCTGCATGTATGGCTATGTATGTATACACCCGAGGAAGACAGACAAGAGCTGGACGCCTAGGACTGGAGTTACAGATGGCTGTACCCCATCACGTGGGTGCTGGCAATCAACTGAATCCTGGTCCTCTTGAAGAGCAGCCATTGAGTTTAGCCACTGAGCCATGTCAGCAGCCCTGTTTGTCACTGGTCTACTGAGGATAGGTGGCTAAGCCTAACCCATTAGGGCTGCTAAGGCCCAGGCTCTGACCCTAATGCTATTCTAACAGTACAACATACTATCTTTATCTTGCAAACAAGAATCTGAGGCAGTGTTGTTACATATCTTCCCTAAAAGCCCTTGACTAGTAAGTGCTGGAGACAAACTTCACCAGGAAGGCAGATTCAGGAACCTCTGGGTAGAAACATGCTCATGCATACACAACAAAACACACCATCTACAGAGACGCTGGCAATACTCGTGAGCTTTAGGGTTGGAGACCAAACTCTTAGGAGCCTGCTTTTAGAAAGAAGCAAGAAACCCTACCATGTGTGGCACACTCACTGGGGGCACCAGAAGATAAAGGGGGAGTATTCCATGCCTGAAAGGGGAGAACTCCAAGTCAAGATCCTCTGTCTGCCACGATGGGTGTGCCAGGAAGAAAGGATTCAGTGTTCCAGTCAAACACGACAGGAGAGGGCATGGCTATAAACAGACTTTAACCAAGTCACCACCTGTGCCCCAGACAGGGAAGGGAAAGAGAACAAGGTGAGGGACAACACATCTTGGAGGGATCTTTGCATCTGTACCCAAATGTGCTATCAAAGTGAGCTTTAACAGAGAGCCATGAACTAAGATTCTAAAACAGCAAGGACAACTTTGAGGGAATCTATGATACACAGTAAGTAATTTAGTTCAGTTTAGCAGCTGGGGGCTGGGAGGACAGTTGCAAAAGTCTGGTTGCAGGGAAGGGGAGAGGAAGGGCTCCTCAGGACCCAGAAGGGGCAGCTGGGAAGAAGCAGTGGAAATGGACCAGTTAGGAGTGGGTAAAGCAACCTACAGGAAGGAATGGCCAAGGGAGGACTACATGAAGTGATTGGCAGGTACATCGATCACAGCAGGGGCAGTTCACAGGTAAACAGTAAGGAACATTACAGACAGACAGCAGATAAGAAGTGGAGGAAAAAGACAGAAAGTGATTCTGCCATGCTTTTTCCTAGATGTTTTCAATGAAAAAGACAGGGCTAGAAAAGATCAAAGCCAGGTGTGAAGCTGGGTGTGGCAGTAATAAACAGAAAACCGGGAGGCTGACACAGAAGCACAGTTACAAGTTCAAGACCAGCCTTTGCTCCAAAGGGTGCTCAGGACTTCCTAGGAGAAACAAAAGGCAAAACAACAACAACAACAAAACCCCTTAAACTTGAAAATTAAAAGCAAGGTGTGAAATGATCAATCAGTAAGACAGACATGGTGAAGTCTGAGCTGAGCTGGCTGACCCAGACAGAGAGGGGTTTCACATCAAAAAGACAGTGTTTGCAGTAAACTCTCATAGAAGGAGAAATGCAACTTAATGCAAATATAGCAATGCAGGGAAGTTAGACAGTAATGCGGGTCGCAGAGATAATACAAAACATTTCTCAATAAGAAAATACAACTTTCCGATCTCCCATGCTCATGGATTGGCAGGATTAATATAATAAAAATGGCCATCTTGCCAAAAGCAATCTACAGATTCAACGCAATCCCCATTAAAATCCCAACTCAATTCTTCACAGAGTTAGAAAAGGAAATTCTCAAATTCATATGGAATAACAAAAAACCCAGGATAGCGAAAACTATTCTCAACAATAAAAGAACTTCGGGAGGAATCACCATCCCTGACCTCAAGCTGTACTACAGAGCAATAGTGATAAAAACTACCTGGTATTGGTACAGAGACAGGCAGGAAGATCAATGGAATAGAATTGAAGACCCAGAAATGAACACACACTCCTATGGTCACTTGATCTTTGACAAAGGAACTAAAACTGTCCAGTGGAAAAAGGACAGCATTTTCAACAAATGGTGCTGGTTCAACTGGAGGACAACATGTAGAAGAATGAAAATTGATCCATTCTTGTCCCCTTGTACAAAGCTCAAGTCTCAGTGGATAAAGGACCTCCACATAAAACCAGATACACTGAAACTAATAGAAGAGAAGGTGGGGAAAAGCCTCGAATACTTGGGCACAGGGGAAAAGTTCCTGGACAGAACTCTAATGGCATATGCTCTAAGATCAAGAATTGACAAATGGGACTTCATAAAATTGCAAAGTTTCTGTAAGGCAAAGGACACTGTCAATAGGACAAAACGACAACCAACAAATTGGGAAAAGATCTTTACCAATCCTTTATCTGATAGAGGGCTAATATCCAATATATACAAAGAACTCAAGAAATTAGACTCCAGACAACCAAATTACCCTATTAAAAAATGAGGTATAGAGCTTAACAAAGAATTTTCAACGGAAGAAACTTGAATGGCCGAGAGGCACCTAAAGAAATGTTCAGCATCCTTAGTCGTCAGGGAAATGCAAATCAAAACAACCCTGAGATTCCATCTCACACCAGTCAGAATGGCTAAGATTAAAAACTCAGGTGATAGTAGATGCTGGCGAGGGTGTGGAGAAAGAGGAACACTCCTCCATTGTTGGTGGGACTGCAAGATGGTGCAACCACTTTGGAAATCAGTGTGGTGGTTCCTCAGAAAATTGGACATAGCATTACCTGAGGATCCAGCTATACCACTCCTAGGCATATACCCAGAAGATGCTCGAACATATAACAAGGACATATGCTCAACTATGTTCATAGCAGCCTTGTTTATAATAGCCAGGAGCTGGAAAGAACCCAGATGTCCTTCAACTGAGGAATGGATTCAAAAAATGTGGTATATTTACACAATGGAGTATTACTCAGCTATTAAAAACAATGAATTCGAGAGGTTCCTAGGTAAATGGATGGAACTAGAAATTATCATCCTGAGTGACGTAAGCCAATCACAAAAGAACACACATGGTATTCACTCACTGATTATTGGATATTAGCCCAGAACCTTGAAATGCCCAAGATGCAACTCACAGGCCACATGAAGCCCTTAAAGAAGGAAGACCAAGTTGGGGTGATTCGGTCCTTCTTAGAAGGAGCAACAAAATACTCAAGGGAGCAAATATGGAGACAAAGTGAGGGACAGAAACTGAAGGAGGGGCCGTCTCAAGAGCACTCCACCTGAGTATCTATCCCATGTGCAATCACCAAAAGTAGATGCTGATGTGGAAGTCAGGAAGTGCATGCTGATAAGAGCCTGATATGGATATCTCCTCAGAGGTCTTCAAGAGTCTGACATACTCAGAGGCAGATGCTCACAACTAGCCATTGAACTGATCATGGGGTTCTCAATAGAGGAGTTAGAGTGAAGACTGAAGGAGAGCTGAAAGGATTTGTGGCACCATGAGGAAAGCAACAATACCAACCAACCACAGCTCCCAGGGTCTAAACCACCAGCCTGGGAGCACTTAGGGAGGGATCCAGAGCTTCAGTTGAATACGTAAGAGTGGAGGGCCCTGCTGGGCATAGGTGGAAGAAGAGAACCTT